AGATGCCTAGCCAAGAGCCACTACAGCCCCCAAAATCAGTTCTTTATGTTGACTTCAAAGCCCCCGCAACACGCAGACGAGTCACTGGACTCTCAACCTGCCTGCTCCAATCTTGGAAGAGCAACTCTAGGTCACTCACTGCCCACAGAGCTAGTCTTCTGGCCCTGCCATACTCCACAACCTGGAGCTGCCGGCTTGACAAGTGCGATAAAAATGATGCTCATTCCTTTATCAGCCATGCTGATGAGAGCGGATAAGCACTCTGATGGAGAAGACGTTCCTGCAGAATCTGCTCACTCTCGTCAGTGTCAGCCTGCTCCCCCTCTCCAGGCACAAGTCCCTGGGGCCTGCCCACACCCAGGTGGGAAATCGCCTTGTTGTGAGTATCAGTCATCATGTGTTACCATCCGTTCAAATACGAGGCTGTGCTTTCCTTACTGCATCCCCCAAAGCTGCCAGCCTCCCCGAGACCAGAAGCACCACAGCCTATTAGGTGACTTATGTGTACAGGACAACTGTCCTCATGACGCTTACTCCTACCCAGCAGCCCCCTTCACCCTGTCTGACCTGCAGATTCCCAAGGCAGAGGCCCTGGGCCCTGGCCCAGACAGCTAGCTCTGTAGGATGTCACCCTGGTGAGCCTTAGGCCTATCACACTGGTTACAGAGTGCTATGGGGAAAGGCTGGGGGAAAACAGAGGGCATCAGTCCCAAAGGCAGGTGGCTCTGTGATCCTCCAATAATAACTGACTTTGTTTATTTTGACGAGTTGTTTTCTTTTCCAGTATATATTTATTATCTTTTACAAACCCAGCGTCTTCTTTATTTTTGTCATTTAAAAACAAAATTGTTATTATATACTGGTTTACAAAGTTCGTATACATTGTTTTTCACACCAGATCTCTCCCATTTCCTTCACCCACCCTTCCCTCCACCCATCAAACTGTGGGACCCCATGATTAACTCCCTGCCCATCTTCACCCCTCTGCTCTTACCCTCCCCGAATTGGATCCTCATAGACATTTTACCTGTTATCTATTTCTACAACAATGGTCTTATATAGTTTTTGCCCTTATGGGACTGAGTTAGTTCACTCAGCATAATGCTCTCATAACTAACTTTTTATTCCTTTATTCATTCATTCATTCACAAAACTTTATGCAGCATCTACTGCATTCCAGGTACCTATTCAGGGGCTGGGGACACAACACAGACCAAGTCCTTGTCCTCCTGGGCACACTATCTACTAACCATCTGACGCTCTTTTAACACCTGCTTTACAGTCCACCAGGGGTCCCTAAGTATGCAATCAGTAAGTGCTCAACTGCCAACAGAAAGGCTGGGAATTCAAATCCCTTCAGAAGCACTGCGGAAGAAAGGCCTGGTGATCTGCTTCCCCAAAGTCAGAACCTTGAAGATCCTTTGGAGCTGTTCTACTCTGTCTATGGGGGTCACCATGAATCAGAACAGATTCAAAGACCACCAGTTTGGTTTTGTCTTTACATTTCACAAGTTGCTGTCTCTGATTAGCTATATTATCCTCAGTAAGAGATGCCCTGATAGCACAGCGGTTGAAGTGCTCAGCTCTCAACCTGAAGGTCAGTGGTTTGAACCCACCAGCCACACAACAGGAGAAAAATGGGGCCGTCTGCTTCTGAAAAGATGTACCGCTTTGGAAAACCTATGAGACAGTTCTGCTGTTCCCTACAGGATCTCTAGGTATCGGAATTACCTAGCAGCAGGGGATTTAATCCTCACCGTGTGGTATTGCTCAAAACCCACGGACAGGAAGCTATGAGTTGGTTCTGACTCACAGCAATGAGATTTTGGCAGTTTTTTAAATTAGTATTAGTATTACTAACTCTAGATTATAGACCAAAAAAACGGCAGCTCCAAAGGGAGCCTGCCTGGTGTCAAAGCATAAACTTAGGTCTTCTGACTTTATAAGCATTACTGAAAACCTTCTGAGGATTCTCCAAAACCTAACAGGGTAAAACAACTCACTAACTTCCTGCCATCAAGTCGATTCCAGAGCAAAGTGACCCTCCTTCAGGTTCCCAAGGATGTAAATCAACAGGAAGAGACAACTCATCTTTCTACCACAGAGCCACTGTGGGATTAGGAATGCTGGAGACTTGCACCCTATTGGCTAGCAGTGCTACAGCAAGGGGGGAAAAAACAACTCAATCTCTAAGAAGACTATTGAACATACACTGTCAAGAGGACAAGCAGGTCTGTCCAGGAGAAGGTGAAACCAGGCTATTCTTTGAAGGCAAGGATTTTGGAACTCCGTCTCATATACTTGGGACATGTTGTCAAAAGGGACCCAGTCCTTGGAGAAGGAAGTCATGCTGGAAAGGATAGAGGGTCAGGAGAGGAGAGGAAGACCCTGGGTGAGACGAATTGGCACAGTAACTGATAGGGCAGGGTTCAGAGCTATTGTCCATAAGGTCACGATGAGTCCCAATTGACTCAACGGCACATAACACCACCACCACCATCTCATTGTCTTCAAGTTGAAACTAATAGCTGACCTTCCAGTGGATTTTCAGAGACTGTCAGTTGCGTGGAAGGAGCAGAGCAACAAATGGATCCAGAGATTCCCCACTGTTGGGTTAATATCTCAATTCCCTACACCGCCAGAGTCCCCTCAAAGGAACCTATACTGTAGTCTTTAGGTTTGTTTGTTTGTTTGTTACTGGGGGCCACTGGGGCAATTTTAACTCACAGACACCCAACGTGACAGGTCAGAACTGCCCCACGGGGTGTTCTTAGCTGTAATAACTGGTTTAACAGGTCACTAAGTTTTCTGCTACATAGACACTAAGTGGATTCAAACTACCAGCCTTTTACTGAGCACTCAATTAGCCTAGTCATTGGGCTCTCACTCTCAGTGCCAGTGAGTCAAAAGTGACTCTGAGCTAACTCTGCAGCAGGCTTCTGAGGCTGTAAATCATAGGAGGGGAGATTGCGCACCTTCCTCTCTCAGAGCCGCAGGCAGGCCTTTGGGTTAGCAGTGCCACTCCCCACAGACAAGGCCACCAGAGCTCCCTGCTGGCTCCTAAAGTCTAAAAAGAAAAAGACATGTAATCAACTCTCATCCGTGGTGGGAATAAAGGGGTAGAGTGATTCAACTCAAATAGGAAGATCTCTCTGGAAAGATATGCAGGAAGTAATGACCGCTCCCAGCCAGGTACCTCAGGAGCAGGGGGAGGCACGTGATTTCCTTAAGTGTCGAATATTCTATATTTTTAATCATGTACCATGTGAATCTATTTCTCATTAAACAATACTTTCAGGATGCAATCAGCCAAATCCTGAGTGTGGAAAACTGTGCGGAATAAAACAATTTGGTTTCTTCAACAAAACAAATGACTCAAATATAAAAAAATTTAAAAGCAAACAAAAATGGAAGGAGGGAGGGAAGGGAATCATTATAGTGTTTTTAAGTTTAGCAAACCCCAAGCTATGCAATCTTTTTCCCTTATACGGAGCCAGATTTGAACAAACTAACAATAAAAAGACAGTTTTGCAATAACAAGGAAATTTGAACACGGATTAGATCTACGAGGATAGTAAAAAATTGTCCATTTTGGTAGGATGATCATGGTATTGTGCTTATGGATTTTTTAAAGGGGCTTATCAGAGTGACATATGGAAGTATTTACAGGCAAAATGATGTTCTGACTGAGGTTTACTTTTAAACACTTCAAGAACAACAAAAAATGCTAAATAAATGGATGAATAAATGAATGAGAAAGTCAAGGGAACAAGAAGGGCACAATTTTTGGAAACTGAATGACAGTTCCAGGGGGGTTCATCACATTAGTCTCTCTGCCTTCATGGACAGCTGAAAAAGTCCATAATGAAAAGTTTAAATAAAAACATGAAAAGTAATTATTCCACGTAGACAGGATGACTGAGGGAGAAAGCTCCACCAGAGGGGAGGTGTCTGAGCTGAGTCTTCCAGGATGACTCAGGACTTTCCAAGGAGAAAGGACATACCGGAAGGGCGGAGGTGCAAAGCAGGAGAGGAAGGCCCTGGACGAGATGGAGCGATACAATGACTGTGGCAATGGGGTCCGGTGTGTCAGGGATGGTGAGGTTGGTTCAGGATAAGGCAAGGCTCAGAGCCACTGTGCTTAGGGTCGTTATGAGTCGTGGTCTACTTGATGGCTCAGAACCACAACAAAGAGTAAAGGGCCTTCCACACCGAGGGCACTGACTGAGTAAAGGCTTTGTGTCACCAAAAGGCCACAGTTGTCTCTCCTTGGCTCCATACTCAACCTAGATCCCTCCAAAATACCTGTTCTCTTATAGATGCCCCCAACTCCCTGGAGCATGCTGACACAGTCCCAAAATCAACTCCCTGACTCGAGAGAGAAAGGAGAGTGTGTGGTCAACAACTCCACCAGGAGGCCTTCAGGAGGCCCCAGAGTGGCCTTCAGGGGATAGGAAAGCAATTAACCTCTTTCAGCTGAGTTTTGCTGACAAAGCAGTTTGGAAGCCAGCTCAGTCATCTCAGGGACAGAGCCTCCAGCCCTCCTGAGTCATCCTGTAGGCTTGTCTTTTCCTAGGAACTCAAGCCAGCCTCCCAGCAGCTGCCTCTAGATTAATAACCACAGTACCCCTTGGGGTCAGCTTGATGCTGGCCTGGAAACCCAGACCATCTGCACTAAGCCAGCTAGGAAAGGAAACACTTCTCCCCTTCTCCCTCCCCTATCCCAGCTCTACGCTGCCCCTGCCCTCCACCAGCTAACACAGGAAGGAAGCCTACTCACTTTGCAGCTACCAAACGGTTTTAGTGGTAAGGAGTTGCACTGCCAGCCAAAGGCACCACCACCAGCAGCCCCATGGGAGTAAGAAGGGCAATTCACTGCCTCTGAAAACATGCTGGAGGTTTCCCACATGTGTTCCAACTCAACGGAACATAATAATAATAGCAAAGTAACAGTACAGGGTTTACTTTTTCACGTCTTGGCTGTCCCACTGGTCCCTTACCTTCGATCGAAGCTGCAGGTATTCTTCTGTGCCATAGGGAACACTTCTTAGAGAGGTGAGGTAGTCATAACTGATGACAGCAGTCTGTGAATCAAGAGAGGGGAAGATTCAGTGTCCAGGCATCAAACATTGTACTGTTTTCCCTTACACGAGCTGGGATGCCAGTCCCATCCCTAAGACACTCTACGCCCTGACATCACCCAGGCTGGCTGCTTCTTCTGACGAGAAGCCCAACCTGGAGTAGCCCTCTCTCATCAGAAACTCTCAGTTCTTCCTAACAAACCACTCCTCAACTTTATCTTGCATATTTAGTTGTCCTTTATTTATGTACTGCCTCCTAATCACCAGAATTTGAGCTCTGTATGGGATAGTCTTTCCTGTTCATCATGGTACCTTCAGGACCTTTTATAGCACTAGTTGAGTAAGTGGATGCTGCTGGATGAATTCATCCTGCCTCACTGTATCACATAGCAACCTAATATGATATTTATGTCTTGACTTGCTCTGTGACATAATGTCTTGATTTGGGGACTCCTTGCTTTCTGAAAGTGAGGAAGACTTGAAGCACTTGTTACAGAAGATCAAGGAATTCAGTACGGATTGTATCTCAATGTCAAGAAAAGAAAGATTCCTACCACTGGACCAATAGACAACATCATGATGGAGAGGAGATTGAAACTGACAACAGCTTCATCTTGCTTGGATCCACAATTAACACTTTTGGTACCATAGCACTCATAGCGACCCTATGCACAAAAGATCTGAACCCTGTTCTATCCTGCACCATCCTCACACTTCCTGACACACAAGAGCCCGCTGTAGCAGTCATCATGTCAATCCATCTGGTTGAGGGTCTTTCTTTCCTTCATCAACCCTCCATCCTTCCAAGCATAATGTCTTTCTCCAAGGAATAGCTCCTCCTAGCAACATGCCCAAAGTACGTGAGGTAAAGCCTCATCATTCTTGCCTCCAAAGAACACGTTGGTTGCACCCTCTCCAAGACATATCTGTTTGTTCTTTTGGCAGTTCATGGGATGTTCATGCTCTTCTCCAACACCACAGCTTGAAGGCAGCAATTCTTCGTCTGTCATTTTTATTCACTGTCAGCTCTCAGATGCATAGCAAGTAATCAGAAAGATTATGGCCTGAATCAGATGCACTTTAGTCCTTTAACTAACATCATTATTCCTCAGTAATTTGGAGATGTCCCTAACTGCAGATTTTCCCAGTGCAAGATATCTCCTTATTTCCTGACTGCTGGTACCAAGGGTGCTAATATTGGATCCAAGTTAAGATGAAGTTGTGGCAATTTAAGTCTCTTCTCCATCCATCATGATGTCGCCTGTCAATTCAGTGGTAAGAATCTTTGTTTTCTCAACACTGAGATGCAATCCATACTGAAGGCTGCATTCCTTGATCCTCCCGCAACAAGTGCTTCAAGTCCTCACTTTCAGCAAGCAAGGTTGTTGTATCTTCTGCATAACGCAGGTTATTGGTGAGCCTTCCTGTAATCCTGATGCCACATCCCTCTTCAAAGATCCAGTTTCTCTAATAATTTGCTCAGTAGACAGGTTAAATAGGTATGGTGAGGGAATACCACCCTGACATACTCCATTTTTAATTTTAAACTATGCAGTGTTCCACTGCTCTATTCACATAACAGCTCCCTGGTCCGGTATAGGTTTCACATGAGCACAATTAAGTGCTCTGGTGATGGAGTCTGCTGTCACCAATTGAACAGTCCCAAAGCGGGGAGGGAGGATTAGGAAAACTGACAGAGACAAGAGAAAGAGTCGGGAGAGCATACAGTGAATACAGCAGCCCCAAATTTATTCTCTTCTGTTCTTTTATCTTTCTTTTACAGGGAACAGAAAAACAACCCAGCCTCAAGGCTGACAATACATTTTGTTATCATACCCTCATTTAGCCCTAGGGTTCAAGGAATGGTAAAACCTGGTTTTGTACTGATAACAGCAAACAGTTCCTCCTGTGGGTACACCTGGCTATTTCCCTTTATTTTTTACTTAATAATTTTCCAGTGCTATATGAAGCTTTCGCTGTGTCTTTATTAAAGGTTTCCCACACTCTGGGATTCCCTATTCTTCTCAGCATCAGCCACAACTTGTTATGATTCACATAATCAAATATCTTTGTATAGTCAATAAAGCACAAATAGACATTCTTCTGATATTGTTTTACTTGGATCCATCTAACATCAGCAATGATATCTCTGGAGTCACGGTCTCTTCTAAATTCTGCTTGAACTTCTCTCAGTTCCCTATCTATGCACTGTTCCAGCCATTTTTTAATGATCTTCAACAGTATTTTGCTTGTATGTGAGATAATATTGTTCAATATTTTTTGCATACAGTTGGATCACCTTTCTTGGGAACGGGAACAAATATGGACCTCTTCCAATCTGTTGGCCAGACAGACGTCCTCCAAATTTCCTGCCATAGACTGGTGAGCATATCCAAGGCTGCATCTGTTAACTGAAACAAGTCAACTGGTATCCCATAGATTCCTGGGGCTTTATTTTCTGCCAATGCCTTCAATGCAGCTGCCACTTCTTCCTTTATTACCACTGGCTCCTGTTCATATGGTTGCTGTTGTCGTTGTTGTTGTTATGTGCCATCGAGTCTCTTGCGATTCATAGCGACCCTAGGTACAACAGCCCTAAACTCTGCTCTGTCCTGTACCAATCGCACTGTCTCTGATACACCCATCCCGATTGCCCCAGTCACTGAATCAGTCCACCTCATAGAAGGCCTTCCCCTCCTGCACTGTCCCTCCACCCTCCCAAGTATGATGTCCGTCTCCAAGGACCAGTTTCTCCTTACAACATGTCCAAAGTATGTTAGACGGAGCCTCAGAATCCTTGCCGCCAAGGAGCCACCCGGTTTAACCCTTTCCAGGATGAATCTGTTTTCCTTAGCAGTCCATGATACCCTCAATACTCTTTTCCAGCACCACAGCTCAAAGGCATCAATTCTCCTTCTATCCTCCTTAGTCATTGTCCAACTCTCTGATGCATAACAAGTGATAGCAAAGACCATGGCCTGTATCAGATACACCTTAGTCTCCAGAGAGATACCATTGCTCTTCAGTACTTTGGAGAGGTCCCTAACAGCAGACTTTCCCATGGCAATACGTCTTTTATAATTTCCTAGCTATTGGTGTCAAGAGTGTTGACTGTGGAGCCAAGCAAACTAAAGCCGTGAACAACCTCAATCTCTTCACCATCCATCCTGATGCTGCCAATTGGTCCAGTGGTGAGAATCTTTGTCTTCTTGACATTGAGCCTCAATCTATATTGGAGGCTGCAGTCCTTGACCCTCTGCAACAAGTGTTCAGGTCCTCCTCAGTTTCAGCAAGCAGGGTTGTGTCATCTGCATAACGCAGATAGATGGCATACCAATTGACATATTTCAGCTAACAGATGCTGCCCTGGACATGCTCACCAAATTGTGCCAGGAAATCTGGAGAACAATCACTCGGCCAACTGACTGGAAGAGATCTATATTTGTTCCCATTCCAAAAAAAGGTGACCCAACAGAATGTGGAAACTATAGAACAATATCATTGATTTCACATGCAAGATTCTACTGAAGATTATCCAAAAATGACTGGAACAGCACATCAGCAGAGAACTGCCATAAGTCCAGGCTGGGTTTAGAAGGGGTCATGGTACTAGGGATATTGTAGCTAATGTTAGATGGATCTTAGCTGAAAGCAAGGAATGTCTATCTGTGTTTCATTGATTATGCAAAGGTGTTTGACTGTGTGGATCATAACAAACTGTGGCTGACTCTGAGGAGAATGGGAATCTCAGAACACTTGATCGTGCTAATGGAAACCTATACTTGGACCAGGAGGCAGTCGTCAGAACAGAGCAAGGAAACACTGCATGCTTCAAAATTGGAAAGGGCGTACGTCAGGGATGCATCCTATCTCCATACCTTTTCAACCTGTATGCAGAACAGATTATCCGTGAGGTTGGGCTCTATCAGGAGAAATGTGGAGTCAAGATTGGTGGTTGGTTCATATAGTACTTCCTGAAATTTTTCAGCGCCAATCAATTCTTTCTGGTACAGTGATTCTGTATATTCTCTCCATCTTCTTTTGTTGCTTTCTGGGTCATTCAATAAATTGCCCACAGCATCTTTCAATATTGCAACTTAAGGGTGAAATTTTTTTTTCAATTCTCTCAGCTTGAGAAATGCAAAGTGAGCTCTTCCCTTTTTATTCTCCAATTCCAGCTCTCTGCACATTCCACTATAATACTTCGTTTTGTCCTCCTGAGCTGACCTTTGAAATCTTCTCATCAGCTCTTTTTACTTCAGCATGTTTTCCTTTTGTTTTGTCCTCTTAATGCTCCAGTGCTATTTTTAGAGTTTCTTCTGACATCCATTTCTATTTTTTCCTTTCTCCTCTGTTTCTGTAATGACCTTCTGCATGGATGATATGTTTGATATCATCCCACACTTGTTAAACACCAACCACTAGCAGGAGCTGGTCACTGAGCAGTGGACAAAGATAATCCAAACCAGAGCCCTGGTCTAGAAAGAACTGATCGATCGCCTTTCGAGTGGTTACAAAGCACTGCTTAACAGTATCCTTGTTTCCAGCTATTTCAATCCCTCAGTTTCCCCACAAACCCTGTTTCCTCTTAAACACTCATCCTCAATTCTAGCTCATAGCACACACTCCAGTGTTTGGGTCCCTAGAAGCCCTCATTTCAGCCATTCATCTTGTCATAGTACGTGGCAGTGTATTGTTTTTAAACCATTCCTGATCCCACTCCTCAACCTTAAGGCCTAGGCTTCAGTGGGACAGCTCAGTTCTATCCCTCAATGTGCCTATGGCAATGGTGAGGCGAAGAGTGCTTAGGCAATACATGGGAATTAGTTCATATCCCATCATCTGTTTATTCAAAGCCCATCTTGATTCTGTGATTCCAAAACAAGACTGCTTATCCTAGAGGGTAGGTACATACCAGTGACCTTCCCTCCGAGTAAGGTGAAGGAGAATACATGGGATCACCAAGTGTTAGCAAATGGTTAGACAACAACCAAAACAGGAAGAAGGGTGAGCTCACCCGGCAGCAGAACGAGAGGAAAGAAAGGACGAGGTAGGTGCCAATCTACCCACTTACACAGACATGTCTGGGAGCATCACGTCAGCAGAATGCAGAGCACACGGCCACATCACGCCAATGAGCCACTGCAGCAAACCTCAAAGATTCAAATATTATACCTAGCATCTCCGTAAGCTAGAGGATTATTGTTGCTGTTGTTGTCATGTGCCATTAAATCAGAACCAGCTAATAGCTGACCCTGCAGTGAGCTTTCAGAGACTACTGCACAGGAGGAAACTGTCCATCTTTCTCTAGTGGAGCAGCTTGTGGATTTGAACCATTAGCCTTTGGGCTGGCAGCATAACTCCTTAACTAAGAGGCCACCAAAGTCTAGATACTCTGAATGAAGCATAACAGTTTCCTAATTTGGTCCTCCCAGGGAGCTCTGGTGGCTTAGTGGTAAGGAACTGCTCTCCCAAGCCAAAGGTATGCAGTTCAAATTCACCAGTTGCTCTGTGAGAGAAAGGTGGGCAATCTCCTCCCATGCAATTTATAGCCTCTGAAAACCTGCTGGAGGGTCAGCTGTGAGTTGATTTTGACTCGACAGCACATAACAACAAAAGCCAACAGTCTTTATGACTTCCACACAATGTCTGAATTGGAGCACTATTTGAGTCTTCCCTTTTATGCCACAAAAGACAACTAATGAAAAGTGAGCAGAGATTGAGGATCTGACCACCACCAACAAAGAAGAGTCAGAATTGACTGTGTCTTTCAGTCCCAGGATCCCTGCACTCTGATCTTACTAGACTCAGTAGACAGAGCAAGTTGTACCACCAGAGACAGCAAGAGACAGTGAGGGACGCAGCAGTTGAGAAACAGCCCTGACAGCAGAACCAGAACTCCAGCGGGAGACGGTGCAGAGAACACACAGGGAGGCTCTCTGGCGGACTAGGGCCTCTGGACACTTGTACCTGCCAACCCCATGGGATAGCTGTCAACTCCATAAAGTGAGATGGCTAAGTGCCTTCAGGCGAAGGCTTACCACAGAAGTGAGTCTACCTCTGTAGACTACTGGAAGAGTTATAAGAACTTTTAACACTTGCCTGACAAGGCAGAGGCCAGGACAAGAGGGCAAGAGGCCAGAGCGAGGGCTGCCTGTGTGTGGGTACAGCTGACAAGAGGCTATCCTGACCGAAGAACTGGATCCTGATTCATTCCAGATTCTGAACTGTAATCTACTACTTCCCTAACAGACCTCATTATATGAGTATTGTCTGTGTTCTGTGTGGCCATTTCAATGAATTATCAAACTCAGCAGAGTAGTAGAGAGTAACGTGAGAGAGAAAGATAGTTGGTGTCAGAATTGACAAAAACATTGGAAAGTGGAGAGGCATGCCTCACAAAAAATAGGCTTGGCCTGTTTATGGGAAGTCAATACTAAATATTTGTAATAAACCAAATGCTATCAGGATGTGGGGAGGTGAGGTACAAGCTAGAGTTCACTCTGAGGCATTAAGGCAATCCTTAGGGGTTTACCAGATTCCTGCATTTGCTAACCCCTGCCTCCTGAGTCAAGCAGAAGGTTTTCAATAGAAAGATCTCGGCTTCATTTGCATTGAATTCTCTTTGCGATTTACTTCCTGAAAATTTTCAACAAAGATACAGGGAAGCTGGAATGGGGGTCTTCAGTGGAGAACTGCTGGCCCCCTGTTTTTCGTGCTCTCTGCTCTATCTCATTCCTGGCTGGCTGTCTCATTATTAATAATTATAAAAATACTTTACCCTCAGTCTGCAACACCTGTTAATCTTGATTCTCCTTCCCCGTTGTGATGTTATAAGAGGTCTGATGCTCACACCATTTTTACAAGAGCCGTTCACACCAGCTCATTTGAGAGAGATCGAGCTTGTTGGTGGAACTGAATCAGAGCTGGAGTCTATTCCAGTCATGGTTGCCAGGGAGTATCAGTTCCCTGGGTCCTAGCAAAACAGGATACATGCTCCAAAGTGTCATGTAACCCCATTCTGTTAGCTACAGGAGGGCGGAGAATGTGTGTGCATCAATGCAGCTCTATGACTGCACATCCACGCCTCGCAAGTGTGCATGTGGATTTCAACACTTCTAAGAGTACATGCGTATCTCCTCACACGTGCAACAGGTGAGTCCATGTACATATGAACATGGGCAGAAAGTACTGCAGCTCTTAACCTGAGGAAAACCTACCGTCGCCACTGCTCTGCCCACCCTGACAGCGCCAAAGTCATTAGGGTCCAAGTACTTGTTGCCGTAGAGGTAGAAGCCAGAGGCAGCAAGGGCCACACTGGTCCACGAAGCAAGCTTCAGCGCCCTTCTAGCCATGTCACCAGACCTGCAGAAGAAAAGGAGGAGTAACAGATAAGGGTTCTGGAGCCACTCAGGTGGGCCTACCTGCAAATCTTGGCTCTACTGCGTTAACAGTTTATCTGACTTGGGTTGTTTCCTTTGCCCCTCACTGAGCTGCAGTTTCTTTACTCATAAACATGGATGGTGCCAACTTCAAAGGCTGTTGGGATCATAAAACACAGATTTCAAATACTTTGCATCAGACTTGTCACAAACAACTCTGAAAATCATTTGCATTCAACAAAGTCAGGCAGTGTTCTAGCACCTTGGAGAATGTGATCAAAATTAAGTTCTTATCCACAAGGAGCTTACAATCTAAAAGGTCAGAAGTACTAAGCACATAAGCCTACATGAAGACAAGAGTTGATACTAAGCGCCGAGAATAACAGCAGAGAGGGCAAGGGGATAAAGAGTGATAAAATGATGCCACTTCAGAAAGGAGAGTCGGAGAACGCTAACAGGCATCACTGGAGAAGGACTCCAGCTCTGACTCAGTTCCACCAGCAAACTCAATCTCTCTCAAATGAGCTAGTGTGAATGGCTCTTATAAAAAGAGTGTGGGCATGTGACCTCTTATAACATCTCAACTGGGAAGGAGAATCAAGATTAACAGGCCAGGCCAGTTTTTTGTGAGGCAGAGGTCAGACATGCCTCCACTTTCCAATGTTTTTGTCAATTATGACACCAACTATCTGTCCCTCCCATGTTACTCTCTAACACTCTGATGGGTTTGATAATTCCTTGAGATGGCCACATAGAACTCAGTGTGTGTTGTTAAGACATTCAGACTCACAGCAACCTTACAGGACAGAGTAGAACTGTCTCAGAGGGTTTCCCAGACCAGGGTGCTTGTTAGAGGAAAGGATGGTAAAATGCCATCTCAGATACTTTGTCAGGAGGGCCCAGTCCTCAAAGAAGGATGTCACATTTGGAAAGGTGGAGGGTGAAAAATAAGAGAGGAAGGCTCACAACAAGCTGATGACACAGTGATTGTGCCAATGGGCTCAAGTGTGTCAGAGATGGTGAGGACGGCACAGGATAGGACAGGGTTCAGAGCTGCTGTTCACAGGGAGCTATGAGTCATAGTCAACTCAACAGCACATGATAACAGCAACAGTCTCTACTGCAGCACATCGCTGGGTCTTCTCCCTCTGCAGAGCCACTGGGTACATTCAAACCACTGAACTTTCAATTAGTTATTGAGCACTTAACCACCGCACCACCAGGACCCCTCCAGACACCTTCGGCAGCTCCTACTACTACCATGCCTTGCTCAACTGACGCCAACAGTCCAGGGCTCCTCCTCAAACTCCTACTCCTGATAAATTCTACTCCTCAAACTTGCCAAGTACACTCAGGCCTCGAGCTTTTGCACTCATTATGTGCTTTCCGCCTAGAAGAATGAGCTTCGTAAACGGCACCACAGTCAACCGTTTAGACCTAGGGTATCATAATACACGGATCCAGGTTTAGTCTTCAGGCTGTAGTTTGCCAAACTCTGGCTTAGTACAGAGCTGTGATTGTTAACTATTGTTTTTGTTTGATACTGTAGAGTGATTCTGCTTCATACTGACTCCAAACAACAGAATCAAATTTCACGATGAGTTTTTAAGCTGTGGGGTTTTTTATGGTTTCTTGGCTATAATCTTCACAGGAACAAATGACTGACTCTTCCTCCCTGAGCACCTTACAAGCTTCCAACCACCAACCTTTCAGTAAGTAGTTCAGCGGCCACCACAGCTCCTTAGCACATGGTGTTGCTATCAAGTCAGCTACAATTGACAGCAACTATGACTCACAGAGTTGAAAACCCTGCCCTGTCCTGAGTCATCCTCATGATAGCCACCAAGTTCAAGCCCACTGTGGCAGTCATATGTTTCTCTACCTTGTGGAGGGTCTTATTCTCTTTAGCTACTTTTCTAAGCATGGTATATTTTTCCAAGGACTGGCAGTTCCTGACAATATACCCAAAACAGGTACTCCTAAAGTGTTTTTACTCAATCAATCAATCAACCAACCAACCTTACTCCATGAGGTCTGGACAGACCCAGTACCGCAGGTCCCCAGATGAGAGCACAAACCCAGGATTGACAAGCTGATGACCATCCTCTCCTGGCTGCGTCTACACCACCTCCCAGCCTTCTTCTTCCTCGAACCCCGTATTCCTGTCGTGTACACTGTCGTGCACGCTCCAGGCATGTGCCCTGTGGGCAACATCATGCAGAAGCTCGAGACCACCTCAGTGAAGCAGCAGTAAACAACTCCCAGGGCCCAGCTTTAATGCAAATGTCCCCAGTAATAAAAGAGGTAGAAATTGAAATACATAAAATAGATGATATAGGAGTCAAACTGTCTCCAAATAGACTGGAGCGAGAGTTTCCCACAAGGTGTCAGAGAGTCTTTAACATGCAAATGAGCTTCTACCCTCTGGGTATTTTAAAAGATCCTGTCAGCCGTGAAATATGTCTGCTAATGAAAAACACCTTTCATTACTAACCCTTTTACTAATGAATCACCTGTCCCATTCTGTTTACTCGCCTCCCTTGACTTTCACCTGAGTTTCCTCTCATGTAACAGCACACACCTCATGTGGGTCTGAGGCCACCTAGACCCTAAAGCCTCCTCATTGGCTCATCACAATAACTAACTTGGACAAAGCCCTTTGATGTTCATGATCGCATTAGATAGTCCGTACAACCTGTTGAGGTGAGACAAGTAATTTTACCATCACACAGGTACAGTGAGGAAATGAAGGAGGTGTGATTTTCCTCAGGTGGTTGACCTAGTGAAGGACAGAGTAAGAGCTGGAAATGGGGCCTTCCTACTCTAAATGTCCAGCCTGTCACAGGACATAGGATCTTCTTGAGAGTGACACCAGGACCCTGGTAACCTAGGTGCTTCCTTCCTCCACTGACAAGTAATTGAATCAGTTATTTGGTTAGATGTCAAGTTGGCCCCAACCAACCTCTCAGTCTCTGCTGTGCTCAGGTTCAGTGTTTACTAGGCTATCTGACCTTCTGACAACAATGGACTTGAATATGGTGAGACTGTGAGGATGGTGCAAGGTTCCAATCTGCTGTTCTTAGGATCACCATGAGTCTTAGTTCCCTCAACAGCACCTAACAGCAACAATAATAATCATCCCCAACGAACAGCCCAATGGCACAGCGGTTAAGTGCTTAACTGCAAACCAAATGTGGGCAGTTAGATCATATGAAGTAGTTCTTCAGGAAAAAGATGTGAGGCTCTGCCTCCAAGATTACAGTTGTTGTGTACCGTCAAGTTAGAACTGACCCACAGCTGACCCTCCAGAGGGTTTCAGAGGCAGTAAATCTCATGGGAGGAGACTGCCCATCTTTCTCCTGCAGAGCAGCTGGTAGATTCGAACCACGGACCTTTGAGTTAAGCTCCCTTACCAAAGGTCCTTTTCCTAAAGATTGGGGGGTGGGGGGTTGTGTACCATAGAGCTGAAACATAGCTGACCCTCCAGCAGGTTTTCAAAGGCAGTTAATCACATGGGAGGAGATTGCCCATCTTTCTCCCCTAGAGCTGCTGGTGGCCTTGAACTGTGTACCTTCAAGATTGCAGCACAGCTTCTTGCCCCTGGGCCTCCAGAACTAGGAAATGCTACAGGAACAGTTCCGCTCTCACAACAGGAGTGTAGGAGCTGAAAGTTGACTCAATGCATCTAACACCACCACCCCCACCCTCAGCGTACCTCCTGCACAGCCCACCACACATCTGCCAGTGGAAGGCTGTCTGTTGCTATGATACTGAAGGAGATACAGAAGGAGAACTTCTGGACTTAGAGAGACGAGAAAAAAAGGCCTGGTGATTTCCAAAAATCAGCCAATGAAAACCGTATCAATCACAAAGATCCAATCCACCACCAGTCAGGAGTATCACAGCATTTTGCTCTATTGTGCCTGGGTTGCCATGACTTTCGTGACCAACTTAACATCAGCTAATAACAAAAACAGCATCAAATAGTACCAGGAGGGTAGAAAGAAGTGTCTTAGAGCTCAAGAAGTGAGAAATTAGTAACATAGCACAAAATCAACCAGTGCTCCACACTAAAAATTACCCAGGCCAGTCTGTCTCATTTAGAAAAATGGTAGAGGTTACACAGCCATTTAACTATTAAATCCATAAGAATGGCAGCTATCACAACAGACCAGAGGAAACTCTCCAGGAAGGTCATGAAGCAAGGCAAAGGAGAGCCTGGAAAGTTCTACAAATGGGAAGCCGATGGTTAAAAGAGTGTGGCAGTAGTGGGTTACTGAATCTGGATTTTCTAGCCACTGCAAGTGTAATTCTCACTATATGGCTAGGTTGTGGCTGTTAATATGTGCCCTTGAGTTAACTACGACTCATAGTGACTCTATGAACAACAGTTCTGAACCTTGCCTTATCCTGAGTCAACCTTACAATCTCTAACACACCTGCTCCCACTGCCACAGTCACTGTGCAAATCCATCTCATCCAGGATCTTTCTCTCCTGTGCTGACCCTCCACCCTTTGAAGCATAATGTCCTTCTCCAAGGACTGGTTCCTCCTGGCCATATTCCCAAAGTACATTAGACAGAGTTTCAAAATCCTTGCCTCCAAGGAGTAGCCTGGTTTCATTCTCTCCAGGACAGACCTGTTTGTTCTCTTGGTAGTCCATGGTATGCTCAATACTCTTCTCCAGCACAACTCAAAGGCATCAATTATTCTTCTGTTATCTTTATTCACTGTCCAACTCTCAGAGGCATAAAAAGCAACTGAGAAGATTATGGCCTGGATCAGGTTCACCTTGGTCTCTAGACTGACATTATTGCTCTTCAGTACCCTGGAGAGGCCCCTGAGAGTAAAATTTCCCAAAGCGACCTGTCTTTTCATTTCCTGGCATGTTGGTGCCAAGAGTGTTGATTGTGGTTCCAGGAAAGATTCAATTGTTAACACTCTCAATTTCTTCTCCATCTGTCATGACAATGCCAAC